TATCCCATTTACAAGAAACAGAGACATTGACTTTGATACTACAAGTAGACATCCGATTTACGTGAACCAAATATATCATTAACTTTGGATAGGTACTGCAAGTAGACATTCCATTAGCTTGAACCAGACGAGCCATTGACTTTAGATTAGATACTGCAAGTAGACATGTAATTTATGAGAACCAGATGGACCATTGACTTTAGATACTGCAAGTAGACATTTCATTTACGTGAACCAAATTTGCCATTGACATTAGATACTTCAAGTAGACATTTAATTTATTAGAACCGAATGGACCATTGACTTCGGATACTGTAAGAAGACATCCCCTTTACATATAACACATTTGGGTTCTGCAAGTAGACATTCCATTATTTATGTGAATCATACGTACCATTGAATTAGGATTCGTTAAGGAGACATCTCATTACGTGAACCAAATGTACCATTGACTTTGGATACTGCAAGTAGACATTCCATTTACTTGAACCAAATGTGCCATTTGCATTGGATACATCAATAGACATTTAATTTATAAAAACAGAAAGACCATTGGATTTAGATACTGCAAGTAGACTAGACATCCCATTTACGTGATATAAATGCACCATTGACATTGGATACTGCAAAGAGACATCTCATTTACGTTAACCAAAAGGAGCATTGACTTTGGATACTGTAAGTATAATTCCCATTTACGTATAACAAATGTAGCATTACCTTTGGGTTCTGCAAGTAGACATTCCATGGTTTATGTGAACCAAACGTACCATTGAATAAGAGGATTCGACCAGGAGATGTTTCAATTACGTGAACTAGATTTAGCATTGACTCTGGATACAGCAAGTAGACATTCCATTTATATATAACAGACGTAGCATTGACTTAAAAAAATGATTAATATACTTGCTCCGCTCAATATTGCAAGCATACAACTGCATTGCACACCTAGTATGGAATTTGTCTTACTTATTCATCTTAATCAGTAATGCAAATTTTTAGGAGATTTTTGGGTTATTTTGGTTAAGTTGTTACTTCTTAGCCTAAAATGTCAGAAAACAAAACACCTTTTGGCAGACTTTCATTTCTAACATTTGGACCTAAACTGCGACTCACTTGAGCACCATTAAGTGAACCCTTGTTGTCTTTAGAGGTTTAATCTAGGAAATATTTTTATCATTTTGCAGCTAGAATTTCTTTTTAACTAGCACTTAATTTAAAAGAAACTTTTGCTAACAAGTGTGTTTACTGTGCCTGACCGCCTTTACTCCCCCATTAAAGTAAACAATTTAATTTGTGAGCTGAGAGATCAAGTAACTCTTTCTTTTCTTCTCAAGTGATATTGATTTTTACAAGGTTTTTGGACAATAAATTGAAACAAAATATTTATAAAATTTGTTGAAATTTTGTTAGCCTATGAAAAAAACTATTCATTACCAGGCAAAAAGTTGTCAAAAACTGAATAAAAATAAACATTATCTATTGAATTATGAAACTTTCATTTTCAAACTAACAACTTCCAGCACAGGAAGCTAATAAAAAAAATTATAACCTTCCAAAGTTGTCTTGTAGCAGTATTGAAGGTTTAAAGGTTTAGAATGTTGCATATAATAACTATTGGACTATGTTTATTATATTTAGTAATCTTTGACTTCCTTATGAGAATTCAAATGTTTTTGTTTTACATATGGTTTTCTGTTCTTCATTAATTATTCAGTAAATAAGTTTGACCAATTTAGTACATTATAAAAGTTTCTTCCAGTAAAGTATTCTTTTCATTTCATTCTATTTAACTTGTAACAATAGTATTTTATAACAGGTTATGGGCCCAGACACCCTTATATTGTGTGTTACAGGTTTTAAATAGAATAATTTATTGCTTGAGATCAAATCTTTAGTATGGAATTTGTTATGCAGAAAATGGAATTGCTGCATGGAAAAGACAACTGGGATGATTGGAAATATCTAATGCAAATTAGCCTTAAAGGAATCCCAAATGCATACGAAGCCATTTCTGGTAAAATGGAATTGCCAGAGAAACCTAAAGATGAAACACAAGCTGCAGAAATGAAAGAATACAAAATGAAGATGGATAAGTATAACAAAACACAGTCAGAGGTAATGTTTATGTTAGCATCTTCATTAAGTAAGGAAGTAAGAGCTCAGGTAAGAAACCTAGAAAAACCAGATGAGGTTTGGAAGGAGCTGCATAATCTATTTGCGGAAATAGAGGAAAATAAAGCCTGTGATATATGCTCTCAGTTCTTCACCTACAAATGGGATCAACACTTGGATATGGCTGGGAACCTATCTGCAATCAAGTCTTTATGGGTAAAGCTTCAAGAAGAAATTAAGAAAATTCAAGACAAGAAAGAAGATAGTTTACCTCAGATATTGTTGATTTGCAAGATTTTTGAAATCCTACCAGCAGAATATTCCAACTTTCAGACAACTTGGTTAATGATTCACAAGGATAAAGCGAGAAACCTTGACAATCTTACAAATTGGCTGTGTACAGAAGCAAGAAAGTTGACCTTAAAGGAAAAAGACAAAGAAGATACAGCTTTAATGGCGGTCAATAGATCTAAAGAAGGCAAAGGTAACAGAAGGCAAGTAGGTCTACAGAAAAACAATGATAAAAAGAAAAAGTTTCCATGCCACTATTGTCACAAGAAAGGACATTGGTTGCAAGAGTGTCAGAAATGGATAGCGGATGGAAAACCTGAAAGAAAACCTGAAAAGAAAAGCTTGGAAAAAGAATCCAAACAAGCAGCACTAACCTTATTAAGTAATTGTGTTTTTCAAACCCAGAATACTACCGCATCACATGATTGGTACGTGGACAGTGGTGCTACCAACCATGTTACACATTGTAGGGAAATGTTTACTGACTTTGAACAATTTGAGTTACCTCATGCAGTTACAATGGCAAATGGACAACAGACAAGTGCTATTGGTAGAGGAACAATTTGCATGGAAGCAAATTTGGATGGTATTTGGAATACAGTAAAGCTAACCAATGTATGGTATGTACCTGGTATTTTTGCAAACCTATTTTCAGTAACCGCTGCTCAAGATTTAAATGTAAATAGTAAATTTGTATCGACATCCAAGGATTGCACTTTGTTTGATAGAAATGGTAAACCACTCATCAAAGGACATCGAAGTCAAGGCGGAGGCTTGTTTAAATTAGCAGTAAGAAAATCAGTAGACCTCATGGCTGTTATGGAAGGAGTTCCAGCTGTTAATCAGTTGCAGTTACTTCATGAACGACTAGGACATCAAAGCAAAACTCATGTACAAGAGTTTGCAAGAAGAGAACTGAACCTTAATCTCAAGCTTGACAATGAGGTATGTGAAGGATGTGCTTATGGGAAAATGCACAGGACACAATTCAGAAGCAGAGATGAACACAGAGCTTCAGTACCTGGCGAAATCGTTCACTTTGATGTTTGTGGACCTTTCTTTGAGTCGATTGGAGGTTCAAAGTACTTTGTATTGTTCAAGGATGACTTTACTCGCTACCGCAGTGTTTATTTTATGAAGACAAAATCTCAAGTTGTAGAGAAGCTGAAGCAGTTTCTTGCAGAAGTCAAAGTCACAGGTCATGTAATATGTAAGTTGAGATGTGATGGAGGAGGTGAATTTGACAATGAAAGTATTAGACGAGTCCTTCAAGTGAATGGAATACAACAGTTGATCACAATGCTATACACACCACAACAGAATGGATCTGCAGAGAGAGAAAATCGGACCATAGTTGAATGTGCAAGGTCAATGATGCATGCTCACGGTGATCTGCCTCAAGGCTTGTGGGCCGAATTGATAAACACTGCATCCTATATTTTGAACAGAACTGCTAAGTCATCAGTTGCCGGAAAGACTCCATATGAATTATGGTTTAGAAAAAGACCTGCAATAGAACACTTACGAGTTATCGGGACAGATTGTTTTGTCCATATTCCAAAGCAGAGAAGACGTAAGTTTGACAAGAAAGCGATGAAATGCAAACTTATTGGATATGATGGTAATGATGGATATCGTCTCTGGAATTCATGGAAATGTACTGTCATTCGGTCCAGGGATGTAAAATTTTTGAAAGAGCCTATTAGTGAATCCATAGTAAATAGGCCTATATCTTCAGAAGAAAAAGTCCCCGATGAAGCAAAAGATGAGAACTGTTCAGCCCCTGTAGTAGAAAATGTCCCCATTCTCTTTCCTGAAGATGAATCGGAAGAAGATAAATTGACAGACGAGGAAGCAGAACAACATGAAGAAAACGTTGAGCAAACTCGCCAACTCCGAGATAGAGCTATGGTAAGGCAGCCCATTCGTTTTGAAGATTTTGCGATGAATGCCGTTATGGGGAACGCACATTATGAACCAAACACATTGAAAAAAAAAACTTTTTCATTCGAGAACAAGTGACAGCAGGAAACCTTGAAGTGAAGAAAATTGACACAAGTGAACAACTAGCAAGGTTGAAGGTTTCAAGACAGAAAATTGGACTGGCTTAACGTTCTTATGAAGTCTCTAAGGAAGCCTTGAGTAGGGGGAGTGTTGCATATAATAACTATTGGACTATGTTTATTATATTTAGTACTCTTTGACTTCCTTATGAGAATTCAAATGTTTTTGTTTTACATATGGTTTTCTGTTCTTCATTAATTATTCAGTAAATAAGTTTGACCAATTTAGTACATTATAAAAGTTTCTTCCAGTAAAGTATTCTTTTCATTTCATTCTATTTAACTTGTAACAATAGTATTTTATAACATAGAATGCATACAAATAGGCCTACTTTCAAACTGTACCAAAGGTTTTCACTGCATTAGACTAAAAACCTACAACATTCATCCTCTTTTGCATCCATTTATTTAAGTCAATGTAAATTAATTACAGTCTTCATAAATACATTTTACAAAAAATTATAGGTTTAAGGCAGTTTTATGATTCAACCAAGTCATTTTCTGAGGAAAATTAAATGAAGTGCTTGTGAATAATATAATACAAATTTAATTACACATGTTCAGAACATACTATACAATATCACTATAAATTATTTATTTCATTATTATGTACAAAAGAGTCACAAGTCTTCACACTAAAACACAAACCATTCGATTTACTTTAGTTGGGCCTCCTTCTTTTTGAGTTCAATGAGTTCTCGCTCACGCCTTAGTTCGAGTAATTGTGCTCTAATCTTTTCGTTAACTTCTTCCGACTCAGGAGGATAAAGTTCTCTTTTAGTTTTCACAACCCATTCTTCATAAAATTGAGGCTGGTTGAAGTAGTGAAAAGTAGCTAATGGGAAAGCCATGTAAAGCATCATTTTACCAACTTCCATCTTCCAACCCATTCTTCAGTGCTGTCTTCTGAAACAATAAAAGGAGTTCGTATTAAGACAGTTTTATTATAATTGTTTAAGTATTAATGGAACAGTGGGGGATAAGTCATTCACATTAGCATTCACTTTACTTTTGAGATAGAAACCCATTAATTACACAAGTGCATATTTTGAAGAGATTATGAATGCAAGATGAATGAACTACAGCCACGTTTATTATTAGCCACAGAGTGCCACAGTCTAAGAATAAGTTATATCAAAATTCATGTTTCAGGCCCTGAACTAATTTATTGAGACAATAATAGACTTTTACGTACCAATGTCAAATACTCCAAATACAGATCATATCGGATATCAAATATGTCGGATTACGGAACATATTTTTGTTTTTATTTAACAATAGCTAAAACGTGGCTGAAACGCATTGCACAACGTCCAATGATATAAGTCAGTGTCAGGACGTACAAAATAAAATTGTTGAGCTGTTTCATGACTCCTAATATAAAATATTTAACTGTTGCATGACGTCCATATTTTACTATGTCCAAAAGTACAGTAACTGAAATAAACATAGTCTTTCCACAAGCTCTGGACGTCATGAGATTGGTCGTCTAGAACAACACACTTTACACTCTTAATAATGAAGCAGTTGCACTATGTATAAAGCCACTGCCAGTTGCACGATGTCCAATAGCCAGCGCTGTCCCATGACGAGTACCTTAAATAGCATTATGGATACAAACAACATTAGTTCCTACTAAGTCAATGTCAAGCTCAAACAGACCATTCAAATATCTTAATGTCCCAAAATCTGATTTACTTATTTTTAATGTTTTTAGCCCAATATCATTGACAGATGGGGCTAGTTTTGGCATTTGAAACATAAAAAGCTACTTTCATGAGTTCTAACTGGCCGCCTTTCATGAGACTCTACCTCTACCAATAGGCCTAGAACTAATTGGTCTACTGGTTCCACTAATTACTATGCCTGCGAGAGAGAAAAAAGGTTCCTTTCCTTGAATATTTGATTAGGCCTAGTTTAGAGTACCGGTACAGTAGAACCCCGGTTAACCGAATTCGGGTTAACCAAAATGGTTCCATAAAATAATACAGGGCTAAAATATAAGTAGGCTAATACAAATGCTTTAGTAACTTCAGTTGTTTAGTTTAAAGTTTTTTCTAACCCATTGTAACATTTCTGTAGCTAAAATAATTGGTTATCCAAAACGGCTCTCCCCCTTTTAAGTTATTTTGGTTAACCGGGGTTCTACTGTACCGTAAGTAATTACTAATTGACAGCTTCAGATCTAGGTTTAAGTAATTTTGCATTATTTATGATTTTAATAAAGGTAGGCCTAATTAGCAATAACAGCGATCAGGAAAGACTTGCGGGTAAGAATTTCCAATCTGTGAACTACAGAAGTGATGTTATAAGGTTGCAGTTTGTCTTGTATGATTTGGTGCAGCTCTTTGTTCGTGTTATTCCACAATTGCTGGATTTTTTAACTCATAATTGAACATATAGACCTAGACCTATGAGTGAAAATTTAAAAACGTACGTTTTCATGTCCCTGGCCTTTTACTTCGTAGATACTGGATTTGTAGTTTATTATTATGTGTTTTAATATTTTTTTGAACGGGGGCAACATGTTACACACATTTATTTGGTTTTAAATAGGTTCTAGGTATTTTTTTTGTATTTTTAAAGTCTCGAAATTCACGACCATCACGTGTCCCTAGGGTACATTTTCCAACTTTCACGCTGTTTTTAGACTAATAATTCATGCCGAAATATATAAAGCCATATTTTTATGTCATCAATGGTTATTAAACTTACAAAAAAGGAGCATATTATAATTTTATTGTCATTACAAACTGACTACCATGACAAAATAAGTCTGTCCCTCGATTTGGCATCACGACCATTTGAGAAAAATTTTCAACTTTGGAGCACGACAGTGGCAAGCCTGGCGTCGATGGAGTCAGTTGGTTTTAGAGACTAGTTCGGGGTGTACGTCAGGATTTAGTGCCGGTCGTTTCGAGTTGAAAGGAGGAATTACAAGATTAATAAGTGTTTTTTTGTAATTTTGGTGTGTCCATGACCGTACGTAGTCATTCGATGAAGTAGACACGGTGTTAATTTTTGTTTATAAGATATTTCAATTGCTAGATTAACCTAGAAGTCCACTTTGTATCCTCGAACATGAGGTGCAGGGCTACCGCCAGAACAGAGCCAAATAACTCGTAATTTCACGACCAAAGTTTCACAACCATCGCGGGTTTTTTCACGACCAATCCAGCCTTATGGATTATAGTGTGTTTGGTCGTGACAATAACTTTAATATAATTGTAAATTGAACAGTTTAGTGCAATTGAAACACATATTTTTATTATAACTAAGAGGATAATTGAAGGATTGTTTAGAAAGATTTAGATTATTCCAGACAATTCACGACCGTACCGCTTGTCCCTGACCATCACGTTTATGATTTCTATCATAAAAATTTCAAAAATTAAATTATCGTCATATTTCAATGTTTTATACACAAAAGAAGCACACCTCTATACAAACATAACGATTTTTCGGGTCTCAGGTAAGTTTTTTCGGAGTTATACAAACTTAAAAAGATTTTATTGGCTTTTTCAATTTTTTGAGTTTTTTTATTTTTTTCTAGAAAGACCAAATATACCAAAAGCTCAGTTACCTTTTTATTGTATAATGGTCATAAAAGTAAATTAGTTTATAGCAAAACATAGTTATAAAAATAACATTAACTATTTTTAATATTCATTTTTAAAACATCCGTTATGGTCGTGACAGGATTTTGTGTTTTTTCCACTAAAGATGCTCTTTTAAAAAGAAACTACCAAACATATTGCGTTACCATGGACATTTTATGAAACTTCAAATGGTAATGAAATAAAAAAATAATAAAAGTTTTGAAAAAAGGGGAAAAAAATTTGCAAAGTGCTTTTCCTGAAAACGTACGTTTTTAAATTTTCACTCCTATACAGGAATTCCTAGCTCTACAATAATGTGTCAATTACAAATCTTCATGTAGGCCCTAAGTTATAGCAGCAAACCTAATAGAACCATAAATAAGTTAGTGTAGTTTTTCCTCGCAGCTTTTCATTTAAGGGGTGCTAAGAAACTTTTGTGACGAAAATATAAGTAAGTACCTACCTAACTTATGTAAAATTATTGTGGATGTAATATCTTGATGCTGCTGTGATTGCATGAGACTTTCATGAAACTCGCCACTTGTGCCGGAGCTGACAACATTGCTGTGATTTTAATATAAGTAAAACGGTTCTTATCAGTCAATTATTAGTAATAGAAATGAGTTAAAAAGTATGTAACTTAATGGTGAAAATTGTTTTTTTTATACAGTAAGTTACCTATACATTATGCAATTGTAGAGACAGTTTTTTAAAAATTGTACTTGTGAGTTGAGATTTGGAGATCATGTTGTAAAACTCTGGACAAAATCAAAAGTACTGTAAACAAAAAAATATAGTTTTTAGGTTGTTGGTGTAAACATTGGTTTTAAACGTGTTTTAAATAGTTATTTAATCAAGTAGTGACAGGAATAATATTTTGGAAGGTCCCACTGACAGACCCTAAAATAAATGGTTTTAGTAATAGTTTACATTGCTTACAATATTACTTACTTTGTTTTCAGCAGTTTAGTCTTAGTAAAAAAAACCAACGTCTTGTATCTTCAATGATTATTTATTACAAAGACGGTTTATGTTTTACAACATCATAACCTTAAAAAATAAAAATTATTTGACAAAGCGAAAGCAGAAAGCACGAATGCATAGAGAAACAGCTGTGTTCACCCTCTTTGTCATTTTTCGTCTGATTTTACTCACGTTTGCTACAGGTTCGGAGAAAACAGCTGAAACACTATCTTCGCTGAATTTAGAATTCACAGTTTTTTTTATAAAAAGTTAAATCATATTAATTTATTATTGGTGGTTTTATTAAAGCATCGATTAATCAATTATACTCTCTTCTCTTACATCTGTGCTCTTACAGGCTGAGAGTATATAAGTGCTCTAGTGCTTATAAAAGTAACTAGCTGGCCCGACAGACGTCGTCCTGTCATAATGTGGTTTTATGTCAAATGCTCATTCGTTTCAAGATGAGCTCGTTCGCATGGCTCAATCACGTCCTGGTTGAAGTTCTTTCGCTACGCTCACTCACCTTTAGGTTGGAGCTCGTTCGCTACGCTAACTCGCCTCCAGTTGAAGTTCGTTCGCTACGCTCACTCACCTTTTAGTTGCAAATTAGCTGTTGTCATAAATTTAAACAAGTTTATAGTACTGCACCCTGTTGGTAAACCTATTAACTTTTTTTAACTATTTTTGATGGTTTAGACCCAGCACCCAGCTGTCTTTGTGAAATGAACACAAGGTTTCTTTTAAAAATAACAATGCATCTTGAAGAAAGTTTGTTTTGCCTACACACTCCTGTAGATGATAACTAATGTATGCATTAATTAGTAACATAGACTAAGGGAGTATGTTTTATCTATGTTAGTAATTAAATACAAATTGAACTGATTGCAGCTTAGAAAAAAAAAAGTCTCTCCTGCGAAAGTAATTTCTTCCATTTGTTTTGATTTTCTGTTTATATTGAGTTGTTTTTGTCACCAGCATGGCAACTCGTAACTCCATGTTATTTTTTTTATCTTAATTTCATTTTTGTGCTTAATTTTTACGCAGAGGATACGCGTCCGGTAACCGGACGTGGATTAGGCGTCCGGCAGTTACTGTCATAACCTAACCTAACCAACCAAACTTGCTGATAATTAAAAAATCAAATGAAGGTTCAATTCTCTTCATAACATAAAATTATAAATGCCAAAAATTCTAACAAAAGATATACAGTTAAGAAGAAATTACATTCAAAGCAAAATCTGTGACAAAAAGTTAAAGGACCCGATGGATTTCGAACCAGGGACCTTTAGGATATCAGCCGAGCACTCTATCCACTACACCACGAACAACGCTGACCGATTATCGTATCGTTGTGGTAATGGCGTTCCGGGACCCCACAACCCGGTGACGTCACTACCGGACGTCTAATCCACGTCTGGTTACCGGACGCGTATCCTCTGTGTATTTTTTAGTCTATTTTAATTTATGAAAGGATTCTGCACATAAACAGGAAAGTACCTATTCCAAAAGTATGCGTGGATTTTCCTTGCGATACACACGAGCTGATAAAAAATGTTTTAAAGAAACATGCTTGCCTAAATTAATATTATACAGTTGTCAATACGTATTACAAATTTTGAGCATAAAGAATACTCTATGCATTGCAGCTGATTCCAATAAAAACAAAAGAACAATACAGAATATCTTTTTCTTGTTTGTGAAGTACGCATCGTCTGCTCCTGCTAATTATCTTTTTTGTCTATTGAGAATGAAGAGTGATCTTCTACTTTATCATTATCTTTACAAATATGTGAATTACTACTCTTGAATTATGAATGCTTCTCTTTATAAACTATTCTACACTTCAGTTTTATTCTGACTCCTTATTCGTCAGTCTTATCTTACTTTAAATTCACTGTGAAATGATATGTGCCAAATATGTGCTGTTCTAAAACCTTCAATGTGGGAGTCCTGAAATCGTTCTGGGTTGAAATTATTTTATGTACAATTTTAGTGTCAACTTGTTTTGAGAGTATATTCTGCAATGAATTTGAAAACAACTTATTTTTGGAACCCTATATGTGTGAAAACCACAGCTCTTCATGTGCACATCAGGTACCTAACTTAGTTCCTTTGGGCCACTAATATAAGACTTCATAGGCATACTCATCTCAAGATAGGCTTAACTTAGTTCAAAATTAATTTAGCTCCCTAATAAGTGTTCTTCTTTTCTAACTAATGTATTTATTTGCATCAAGATTCAATTTAATGCTATTTAGGCCTATGTTTCAAAATATGTTGAATTTAAATGGAAAAGTAATCAAGAGAAATGATATTTAACTTACTCAGTAGGTCAAAATGATTGTGCTGTTAAATATGCCTTGTATATTAGGCCCACAAAGGTAAGATAGCCTAGTTATTAGATTTATTATACGGACAGGAAATCAATGGTACCGTAACCAAGAAAAGTAATTAGTAGAAAAGTAAGTTAATGAGTTATGGGTAACTTAACCGTAATAAGAGAGATAAGTTTCACAATCGAATAACTTAACTTGAATCTCAACAGCTGTTGTTTTCTCTCTTTCGACCTTAAGCCAATATACAGTGGCATCTTATGAACTCAACAGCCACTTCTCTTTACCTTTTACCTGAATACTCATCATCAAGTGTTTGAATTTTGGGTATTGCTGTAGTTGCGTAGGGAATCGTTCTTTGTGTAGCCTATGTACATCACTGGTAACACGTAACACGTAATTTTTCTTGTAAAACCCTTCAAATTGTGAACATTAAACTGTACATTATTTAACAAAACATGAAAATGATTTAACGTACAGCTACCAATTCATATGTCTGCTTGCCTATTTTAAATTAGTCTATTTCAAAGTAGGGAGGCCTATCGATGGAAGAAAGGGTAGGGATGAAAAACTGCCTAATAGAATCTCCAGTCTATAGATCTCCAGAAAAATTCCAAAATACTTAAGTTCTGTGTGCTTTCACGGCTGCTTTTTTTAGAATCCATGGTGGTGGTTTTTGGCCACAACATCAGTTTGGATAACCGCAGACGCGGTTGATGCTGAAAACCACAGTATGGATTAAAAAAGAAGTTACACAATTGCATACAATATTTATAAAATGCAACTTCCAATTTCTTTTAAATGTAACTACTATGTTAATCTAAAATGTAAATAGTATGTTTTCATCTAATTAAAATTAAAAGCAAATAGACAAAATACCCAACTTATGGATACAAACGACATTATTTCCTCCCAAGTCAATGTCAAGCTCAAACAGACCATCCAAATATCTTAATGTCCCAAAATCTGATTTCATGTCAAGTTGTTCAAAGGAAATTGTAATTATGTACTGACAAAATATCTTAACCACATCTCAAACCGGGTCGCCGAAATTTTATACCCCTGGAATTTTACCCCCTGGGCAAAGCTGACGTAGTATGATGACGTAGTAACCTGAGTGGCCAAAAGTTTAGTCGTGGCCGGAATTTCACCCCCGCGGATTTGGAAGTCTAATGAAAATAGTCAGAGCGTGATTAATATGATTAGTAATAAAAACCGGAATTTTACCCCCTGTCCATATAACTAGCGTTTAGACAACTGAAGATGTAGGCTACGGGCCGGAATTTTACCCCCGGAATTTTACCCACTGGCTGGTTTTAGAAATTGAATGATTGATTTTCTTATTTCTGTTATTAATTAATTGTAAACATTTCATTATTTAGTACCCTACCTTTATTTATTTATTTTTGTAATCTCAACTAAGTAAACAGAATTCGCTGGTTTATTTTGATCATATTAACCAACAGTTGGCTTCAAAGATCAAATCCTAATACTCGAATCTCAAAATTAAAATTAATAACCTGTTTGATTAGTTAATGTTACAAATAAATTAAGATAGGCTACTTAATAATAAAATGTTTACTGTTAAAATTAAACTGAATGAAGATAATTAATCATTCTCACTAATTTATATATGGCCAGGGGGTAAAATTCCGGTGGTAAAAATCCGGGGGGTAAAATTCCGGGGGGTAAAAATCCGGGAGTAAAAATCCAGGGGTAAAAATCTGGGGGGTAAAATTCTGGGATAAAAATCCGGGCCGTACATTCTAGGTTTTTATAATTTGATGTGTTCTGATTAAATTCACAACCGTGAAAATATATGTTTAATTCCGCGTTTAATCTATCGAGCTGATGACGCGAAACTCAAAAGTTCACTTGTGACGTCACGTTTGCCCAGGGGGTGAAATTCCAGGGGGATAAAAATCCGCTACCCCCTCAAACCTTCAAGCATAAATAAAAAAAATCTATTTGAAATATAACCCCCTGTCTAAATTGTTCTGCTTAAAGTTTCATAAAAACTATTCGCAGTTTTAAAACTTTCTTGCTTATTCAAATAGCATTCTAGGTTGGATTTCTTTATACTAGGCCGACAACTTTTCCCCTGGCCCTAAACTATTTTAATTTTCATAGTTTTACTGGGAAATTCTCTCAAAGTTTTTTGGCCCCAGTTCAAACAGAATTACTGCAATCAAAAGATACTGGCTGTTTATAAAGTTTGATTTGGATTAAGTAGGTTAAGTAGGCGTTGCTCTTCAACCTCTGCCTACCATACAAAAACCAAGTATGTGAATGGATATCTTAAATTTTGTTTATGCTATTCCACATGGAAAGAAAGATAGATGTGATCAATTTAAAACTTAATGGTGGTGCATAATAACTGGAATACATTTATTAGAATACATTGACGTAAATTAACTTACATCTTTGTTGTTGTTTATGATTCTATTAAGAAATTAAGCAAATCACTTGCTTCGTGAGAGTAGTAGCCTATCTGGTAACATGCATTGTGTTTTGTTTCATTGTATTGTAATAATCTCTTAACTTGAGAAAGATAAATTTCACGAAAAGAAACATGTTTTCAGGTAGCATCAAATGACTCTGATGATTTCTGCAGGATCACTTACTTTCCTAGAGATTCTGAAGGTAAATTAACATTACTTTTGTCAGTTTCATCTTAAATTTTTTTTGTTTTATATTAGTAGGTAGCTAACTTGATTGCTTTTAAACATCCACGCTTAACAAAATATTATTTCTTTAAAATGACATAACTACAGGACTTTAGTACTAGCCTGGTCCCCGGATTGGGCTAGACTTCCGCAGAGAACCTACGGTATATTGATGAATAATGATATATATATCAAAACTTGCTTGGTTGGATATAATATCAATTAGGCCTAGGCCTATATAATTTTTTTCTACTGTAACCATCAATTTCAAAATTGGTTTGTTTACGTTTTGATTAATATTTAATAAAAAAATTATTAATATAAAAACATAAACACAATTTATTATATGAAAAGTAACAAAACAAGCAATAACCAAAACATAAAGTAATAATAAAAATATTAAGAAATATGAACTAAAAACCTAAAAACCATTTCTTCAATTTTTAATCTTAAATTTTTAAGTGGAAACTAAGGAATAAAAAGCTTTGTTAATGTGGTTTTTATTTATATCATCATAATATTAAAATCATTGCGATATTAATATTGAACCAGATAAATATCGATACCGTATATTTTGATATTTATCGTTATTCATCAGATAATATAGGTTCTCTGCGGGAATGTAGATTACCCGGGATTGTTTTAGAGCACCTTTAAAAAAAAGAAGTGCCACAGAATGTATTTTTTTCCAAAACCGGTTTCTGATTTAGGATTTTACTTGTCAACTAAACTTTTTTAGAATTTGAACTTGAACAACAAACAAGTTAGGCTATGACCAAACATGCAACTTTTTGCAAAACCCGCAAGACAATAGGTTTTAGATTGCTATGTATTCATGTTCGTCAACCACCTTTTCCAAATAAGTAGGCCTACCTAAGACACTTTTTTGCATGTTTTATCGAGTTTCATTCATTTTTGCTTAAATAAACTTATATTTTAGAACAGACATTAATTGTTGTTTAAAGCATGATACAACCTAACTGTATGAAACAGTTTTACTAACAACTGTCTTATTGTTTCAGCTTGTCAGTCTTCTGCCTTCAAAGGGGACAATGATATGGCAGAAGAGATCGGAGACATGAAAATCATATCTTACCTGATTACCGACACTGAAGATGGTCTTCCCATTACTGCATTTAACATTTCATTTACCAAAATAAAATGGTCAAGTAAGTCTAGCTAGGTCTAAGAAATATGGAATGTTTTAGAATGTATCTTTAGATCAGAAAAGTTAAGTATAAGTATTCTTCACTGGAAGTTACTACATACTTTTTACTCATTTTTGTGGCTACCCCTGAACTGGTAAGACTAATATTGTAGTGGTTTATTTACCCTTTATTTTTGTTCGAACCTCAGAATAGTTGTAAACTGTAACCAAGGTTTCGACGCTGGTTGCGTCATGATCTCATTGATATAATTGTTGAGAAAATTCTCAAAAAAACCCTGAAGTTGGTTCGTTGCCATCTTTGGATGATAGTAACGGAACATCATCATCGTCTTCGACGATTGCGGAAACATTTTGACAGTACATGCGGTAAAAAAATATGCCTGAGGGGGGTTGGTCTCCCGCCTTCGTCCCGCCCCCCCTTGATCCTCTACTTGAATTCCAGAGATATCGGCTTCAATGGTGGAGATTCTACTGAGATCTACGTTAATGAATGTTTGACCAGAGAACGCCGAAAACTATTGAAGGCAGCTAAAGAAGTGAAGAAGAATAAAGAATATAAGTATTTGTGGGTGCGGAATGGGCGAATCTTCATGCGGAAGACTGACAATACTCGCTACGTGATCGTCGATACCAAAGCTGACCTAGATAAACATGCCAGACTCCTTAACTCATGCGGCTCCTCGTCAGGCTCCTTTAGTTACGTTTCAGTTGTTGTGAATTCCTTTGCTATGGTTCACTATCAGTTTGAATACTTTTATGGTTTTACTAATTTTCTCAGATGGGATATATTTTTGGTTAAGGCATCAATGGGTGTTACTTTGTTTTCATTCTTCGATGTTAAGTAGTAGTACAGTAAACAGTGAAAGAAATGGGTATTGTGGTGTCATAAATAGCCGTAATAAATGTTTACAAATAGCTCATATGAATGTAGAAAATTTAAGTGTACACAAAGAATCCTTTTTCTCGATTGTAAATAACCATAAATTAGATATTATTGCTATATCTGAAACATTTTTGAAACCAGCTGTATCTTCGTTACCTTATAATTTAGAGGGATATAATTTTGTTAGAAATGATCGTGAAGGTAAAGAAGGGGGTGGAGTAGCTGTGTACATTAATACTTCGTTTAGTTTTAAAGTAATATCGTCCTCTCAACCCATGTATAGTAAAAAGCCAGAATATTTGATACTAGAGATTAATCATGGTTGGAAATTGTTGTTAGTTGTTGTATATAGACCTCCAAAGGCTGGTCAGCTTAATGAAATGTTTGACATAATAGCTAATTTAATACCATTGTATATGAATATCATGATATTAGGAGATTTCAACATTGATCTTAGTTCTGATAGACAATTTCATGACAAAACTCAGTTACAAAGACTAGTGAACATGTTAAACTTTAATATATTGCCTTTTCAACCAACTTATCATCTACCTCAGTCTGATACGTGGCTTGATCTGATTATTTGTAACGATGTAGGTAAAGTTAAAGATTATGGTCAGAAGGCCGCACCTGGTGTATCTTATCATGATATGATCTATGTAGCTATTGATTTAAAGGTAACTTTGGATAGTAAATGTTATAAGGTAATCCGAGATTTTAAAAATATTGATATAGATAGTCTTAGAGGTGAATGTAGAGAGATAGATTGGTTTGCGTTGTACCAAAATGATGTTTTAGACAATAAGGTTTCATGTTTTAATAGTAAAATTAATCAAATTTTTGATAAATATGTCCCACAAAGAAAAATATATCAGCGAAGACGTGCGTGCCCTTGGGTAAATAGTGATATAAAAGAACTTATGAAAGAAAGGGATGTATTGTATAAAAAGTATTTAAGGTCAAAAAATGTAAACATTTGGGAAAGCTATAGATTATTAAGGAATAGAATTAAGCGTATGATTAGAGATGAACGCAATAGACATTTAAATTCAATTCTTAGTCCTGATAAGACCAACAAGCAAATTTGGACAGCCCTAAAGACACATGGAACTGGTAAACAAGCTAATATTGTACAGGATCCAGTCGTAAACTTAGACGGTTTGAATACCTATTTTTGCGGGATTGAGAATCGAGTCAATAATAATCTTATCAATGAGTATACCACTCAATGGAGGGCAGATAGGGAATCTTTTGTTTTTGATAATATTACTGTAGATCAAATTTCACATGCTCTTAATCAGATATCATCGAATGCCGTTGGATCCGATGGCATTCATGTTAGATTTATAAAGTTGATATTTGATGATATTAAACATGTAGTGTGTCATATTTTCAATTACTCAATTTCTTGTTGTGTTTATCCTAGTGAGTGGAAAAAAGCTTTAATTGTGCCTTTGCCTAAAAATAAGAATCCGTTGCTATGTAAAGATTATCGTCCAATCAATATTTTATGTGTATTAGGAAAACTGTTGGACAAATTAGTGTACTCACAAATAAGAGATTTTGTAGATCGTAATAATATTATGTCTAGATACCAATCAGGTTACCGAAAGTTCTATAGTACCCAAACGGCTCTTATTAAAGTGACCGATGATATGAGAAAAGCAATAGATTGTAGACGTGTAACTGTACTTACGCTTTTAGATTTCAGTCGTGCTTTCGACTGTGTTAACCACGATTTGTTGTTGGCTATTTTAAAGTCATATAATTTTAATGTTAACTCAGTTAAATGGTTTGAATCCTATTTATCTAATAGATTGCAACAGATTAAAACTTGTAGTGGAAATGTATCACAGTGGATGTTGAACTCTGTAGGGGTTCCACAAGGTTCTACATTGTCTGCTTTGTTATTTAGTTTATATATAAACAGAATTAGTGATAATATAATGTTTTGCCAAACTATGCTATATGCAGATGATATGCAGTTGTACATACATTGTGAGCTAACTAAGATTAACGAATCTGTAAATAAGCTTAATGCTGATTTAGAAACTATTAACATGTGGTGTAGAGACCATGGTTTGAACTTGAATGTAGGTAAGTGTAAGTCAATGATTGTAGGAAATCAGAGGTTACTAAATTCAATTATATTAGAAAATATATCTCCTATTAAGATAAGCAATCAAGATTTAAGATTGGAGTCCGAAGTGGTTAATTTAGGTTTAAGAATATGCAGTAACCTATCATGGAGTAGCCAAGTAAATCATGTTGTTAAGACTATTTATAAACATCTGTACCAGTTTAGACGACTCAGGTTTCAACCCTCCTTTGATATAAGAAAAAAACTGATTTCTACTCTTGTATTCCCTGTGATTGATTATGCTATTGTGTCATACTGTGATATTAATAATGAACTAACTAATGAGTTACAAAAGGCACAGAACGCTTGTATTCGGTACATATTTAGAATGAGGTATGACGAACACGTTACACCTTTTTATAAGAGATTGGGTTGGCTCAAAGTAAAAGAAAGAAGAGAGTTAAGAGTTTTGAGTTTAGCATTTAAAATAATTAAATACTCTAAGCCTGAATACTTAAATGAATACTATCGAACATTGCATAACGTTCATCAAAGGACGACTAGATTTGGACAGGAAATCTTACAATTTCCCATTCATAGGACTCAAACATACACAAATTCATTTGTTGTGACGTCAATAAGACTTTTGAATGGACTAGACAATAGTATTAAAAGTTTAGAATCAGAAAACAGTTTTACAAAAAAGGTAAAAATGTTAATGCTGAATCGATACTAGTTAAGAACAAAACAATCTGTAAAGTAGAACATTAACTGAAACGATATTTTCTTTTTATTAAGTGTTGTATTATTTAGAAAGTAAAGGGAAGAATACTTTAATTTTATTTTTAAATAAGAATATAGTATAATATGTTATATTTGTGTTTTCTATAAATAGTGGTTAAACCTAAACAGTTTGTAATTAGAAAAAAACATTGTAAAATTGTGGAGCCTGTCCTGGCGGAAGAGTGGACCTTCGGTCTAAGCCAGGGCAGGATAAATAAATAAATTATCAAATTATCAAATTACTGGTCGACGATGTAAGTGCCTAGTGGAGGTGAAAGTTGACGGGATATTGGGTCCTTTATGAGTTGTACCGCTAATCCAGTAGGCTTTGCAACTTTTGATTTATCCTTTGTCTGTTGTCTGTATCCACTGATAACTTGTTTGGTATAGTACTGTTAATAATAATTTAGTCTTTGGTCCGAAAGAACGCCCAGAACTGTTTTGCGTACATTAATTCAGGCTAGTCTTAGAGTGTTGTTTGTAGCATTATCACATAGATGAAATCCATTAGTGATTGGTGGGATTTGAACCCGGGACCTCGGGCACTGAAACCCGACGCTCTACCTCTAGACCAGCTCCCTGTTTTTATATAATAAGATAAATAAACAAACCTAAAAAAAGACTTGGTAGTTGAATCAGTATAAAAACAACACTCAAAAGGTTGAGTCACTATTTTGGAATTTCACACCTCCTCATTATATTCCTAGTTTATAAATGTTCAAAAAACCATGGTTATTAAATTATGAGTAATTGAGTCAATTTAATGCCACCTCACTACAACCAATGCCACTACAACCAGATCTACATTGCAGCGGATTTCAATGTTGATATTTTAAGAACCTGTAACTTACCGAACCATAGAAATTTGTTCTTAGATTTAATTAGTATGTATGGTTTTAATGCAAACTTTTGTTCTCCGACTAGGATTACTCAAAAGTCAGTCACGTGTATTGATAACATTTTAACTAGTGATTTTTTAGAATTGAATTCCCAAATTAAGAGATCCAAAATGAATATGGAATTAGGTGTCTCAGACCATAGGGCTCTTTTTATAGATATTTCAAATAGTAATGCCAAACTGCATAAAAGAATAAGTAAGAAGAGATTATTTTCAAATAAAAATAAGTTAATGTTCTACAAATGCATTTCTGAAACTCACTGGAACATAAAGCCATCTCAGGATGCACAGACAAATTTCAATTGTTTCTTCAATCAATTGTTGGTTCATTTTGATCACTGTGCTTTCCACCAAAATTTTTTTCTAGTAGGTTGCATAAGAATACAAGTAAAGGCTGGGTGACTAAAGGTATCATTGTATCAAGTAAACGTAAAAGAGAATTATGTGTAATTTCTAACACTAATAAGGATGTGAATTTTCAAAACTATTACAGAAATTACAGAAAAATATTTAAAGCTGTTTGTGATAGAGCCCGTAAAATGTTGAACTGTAAGGTAATAACCACAGCTGAAAACAGGAGCCAAGCAGTGTGGACTGTTGTCAAGTCTGAACTTGGTGTCTTGAGATCTAAAGATATGGACTTTCCTGATTTGTGTGTCAGAGATAAGCTGATAACTCATGGTCAGGCTATTTCCAACTTTCTCAATGTAAAGTTTGCAAACACCTCTAAGGATATTAACTGCATACCTTGTTTGGATACTGCATCCAAGTTAGTAAATAATTTTATGATTAATCAAAGAAATAATTTCAAATTCAGACATGTATCTGTATCAGAAATTAAAACTACGATTAAAAAATTAAAAAATAAAAAATCTGTAGGATGGGATGGGATTTCAGTTGAAATAATAAAAAATATTATGAACTTTATAGCGGAGCCACTGTGTCTGATTTTAAATCAATGTTTTGATGAAGGAATTTTTCCATACCAATTAAAAAATGCTGAACTGAAACCACTTTTCAAAAAAGGTTCAGTAGAAAACCCAGAAAACTATCGTCCGGTGTCAATTTTACCATCTCTATCTAAAATTTTTGAAAAAATAGCATATGAACAAATGTACTCTTTTTTTGAAAACAATGATCTGTTTACAGATAATCAATTTGGCTTTAGATTGGAAAAAAACACAATATCAGCTGTCTCTGATTTCATAGATCGAGTGTCGGAGGGCTTGGATGAATCTCAGAGTACTGCAGCAGTGTTCTGCGATCTTTCCAAGGCGTTCGATTGTGTGAACCATAATGTATTAAGCAATAAACTTAAATATTATAACTTCTCTGATCTGGCGCTGTCTTGGATACAATCTTATTTAAGAAACAGGCAACAAAGAACTGTCATTAAGAAAAATGGTAGAAATTTCATTTCAAAATGGCAAACCATCAATTGTGGTGTACCCCAAGGATCAATTTTAGGTCCCTTGTTATTTTTAATATTCATTAACGATGTACCTAACAATGTATCATCAAACCTAATATTATATGCTGATGACACTACAGCCATAGTAAAAGCAAAAGATGTACATTCTCTTAGATTAGAACTTGATCAATCAATTGTAGACTTAACTAACTGGTTTGCGGCAAATGGTTTAAAACTTAATAATGCTAAAACACATATTATGCAATTCCAAACACTACAAAATAAGCAAAACATAATTTTTGAATTACCGTACAAAAATGATATTTTAGCTTTTGTTGAACAAATATTGATAAAAATTTGACATGGAAACTTCACATTGAAATACTAGCTAAAAGATTACATACAGCTTGTTTCCAGATGTATGTTTTAAGAAACATAATTGATTCTAAAACAAAGCTGATAGTTTATTATGCAATATTTTTTTCCATTATGCAATATGGTATTGAGTTATGGGGCTCAACATCATATGCCTCAACAATTTTTAAGGTACAAAAGAAGTTTTTAAGAATCTTATCATTTACACACAAAAAAAGTCATGTAAACCGCTTTTTTAAACATATGGAATTTTAACAATGCCTTCACTTTACATTTATAAAATTCTGGTATACTTTAAGAGTAATCCACAATTATTTATAAAAAATCAATTTATTCATCACTACCCAACACGTTCAAAAAATAATTTGCAGTATCCAAGACATCGGCTATGTGTTTACGAAAGATCACCGTACTATATGAGTCTGAGGCTTTACAACGGTTTACCTGCTCATTTTAAAAACATCAATAATATTATAAAGTTTAAGAAAGAATTCAAATTATTCCTTATAAAAAAGAAATACTATACAATAGAAGAGTATTTAAATGATTGTTTTTAAAAAAGTGACTAGTTTAATTTTAATTTTAATTCTTAGATTTAGTTTTTCATTTTTGTTAGCTAAGAAATGACAATGTCATCTGTTTCACCAGCTTTGCTGGAAATGTGAAATGTTTTATGACAATAAAGTGATATTATTATTATTATTATTATTAATGCACTTTTCCTTACAGAAGCCAGGATAAGATTCGTGAGAAAGTCGATGGGAAGGGATGAGCTGGCTCCGCTACCAGAGGCTTGTCGTGAGTTTGAGATGCCGAGTCGGCATGCAGACGACGCAGTGCTCTACTTCGACTGTCTTTGGTCTGACAGATCGTACGAAGGACAAATCTACCAGTTCCAGTACATTGCCACTCCTTGGTTTGGAAACCCCCAAGCTTTCAACTATGCGTTTTTCGTCCCTAATGGACGACGGAGAAGTAAGTAGTTGTATATATAGTATGTATTTTTATGTGTGTTCTATATCATTTTCTCCAACTTAATGCCTAAAAAAACTGCGTCATCTTTTGAAGTTGTTTTTATGTAGCGGTGAACTATAAAGTCTTATAGATGACAAGCAAAATAACCAGTTTGTACCCAAGGACTTTCAGAAGAAACCTTCAGGTTAGGCTAAACTATTTGTAAAGCCGTGTTTGACGTAAGGCCAGTACAGACAAGTAAGTAGGTTACCTACCTTTGTTAGGCCTACCTGAGGCAGGTGACTCGCTCGCCTACTGGTTTCTTGTAAACGCAGCTTTACAGCTAAGGTATTGGAATATCACATTGGCTTTATCAACAGCTGTTTTGTTCCTACGGCTATTTTAATTTATCTACGAGTTAGTGATTCAAGTTATAAGGGCTAAGTAAAAGCAAGAATTCCTTACATTATTTGAGGTAAGACTAAGACTACCCAATTATGTTGCAGTGCCTACAGTTCACATGGCCGACTACCAACTGTTCATGGTGGTTGATGTTTCTGCTCTTCCGGTCATACGATTGCGAATTCAAGTCGCTCCTCCACATTACAATATAACTAGGTAAATACATTCTTTTAAACATTGTGTAATTGATCATAACCTCTGTTTAAACGCCATTACTAAATAATAAATGATCAAAATCTAAACAACTGGAAGGTTTGTTTTTGGTAATTCTGAAAGTGTTTTTGACATTATGCCGTGCTGGCTTGCTTTATTATCTGTATGTTTTAAGATTCTTGAGGAGGACCACCAACTGGCGATAACAGCACCAGTGGCGACATTTTTACTGAAGTCTTTTGCTTACACTAAAACTATTCCATATAATGTGGGTTTTATGTGCCCACAGTGTAGTCACTTTCTGCATTTTCATGCGTTTTATGGATCAATTTTTTTTTAATTTGTTGACTCAATGATTTTTATAGTCGAAGTTGCTAAAGTAGTTAAAAAAGCGGAAGAAAAAAGTTAAATCAAAGCTTTGCAGAGGCCGATGTTTTTAGAATGAATCGTGATACTAAAACTGTCAAGAATGTTACATTGTTAACTTTTAATGGAGCACAGTATATTCCTGACCTACCACGATGATGAGTGGCTAAGTGACCGTGGATATAAAATCATGGATAATGCAAACCTAACCTAAAATTCCTGTGAAACAACTAAGATTGACTTTGAACCTATAGTCAATACTTAATAACAGGTTTAGGTAATAATGAAACGTTTTAAATGCAAGAGATAATTACCTTTTAACTTTGTTTCACACACTTCAAACAAACAATACTGAGGTAAACAATGCCAACTTTATATTCTGCCTGGAAGATGATGGGCCCTTACGTTAAAACCTTGGTTGTCATAACGTACATTTAACTTGCACAATATATTTATTTTTTTGTGTGGTTAATTCTTTCGGGATGGGAGTCCACTATATGTTTGTATTTGTTGCAGGTACCGTGTCCACTTGTGGCGCAGTTCCCGCCAGCCCGACGGCAACTCCTGGGTCGTCCACTCAGAGATTCTAACCACTCCTCCCAACACCCCCGTGGACACCGTGCTCACCGTAGAGTATGACTCTGAGTACAAACCGGGAGTGTACAACTTTACAGCTCTGCCCCTGCACTCCCATTGCACCGAGCACAACCCTTGCACTTTGTCTAGGGCACCCGAGGTGCTGATAGGTATGTGACCGAATGTTGTGCAGCTTGTGGTGTGGTTTTTAAGGTTTTCCCCCCAGAAAGTATGGAGACTTACACGTATACACTTCACATACACATACACCTTCCGACCGTTTACCACCTATTTTAGCGAATTTCCCTATAGGGAAGTAGCTATTAGCGAATTTCCCTATAGGGAAGTAGCTATTACCGTAGGTGGCACGGAAAGACCTAGACCCGGGACCGATTTACTTTTTCATTTTGATGTCCCCAGAGGCCAAAAACACCATTCGTTCAAAATTTTATATATGTATATATATAGACTTATATATATATATATATATATATATATATATATATATAAAAGCATTATTAAAAACTAAGTACCCTTTTTTAAATTCATTTTATTTAACAACGACTAGTTTCGACGATTATGCCATAGTCATGTTGTTTTTATATCTAACAAATACAATAAACATTTTATCTAAATAATAAATACAATCATATGATTTCATAGGTTTTGATGACTAGATTTCTTCTGTTTTAAATGGACTTGTAAATATTCCTATGTCCACTGAAAACTTTAACAAAGAAAAAAATACTATTATATTTGGCAGTGAAAAATGGATACAATCCATCTATAATTGAAAACATGATTAAGAAGAAATTTAAGAGAAAACTTCAAACACAAGGAACTACTTCAGGAACAGAAAACAAAAAGAGAAAAGAATTTATTTGTATACCGTACAATACCAAAATTAATAAAGCCCTAAGAAAAACTTTCAACCGTTCAAATGTAATAATCAGTTATAAAACAAAAAATAATGCTTTTCAAATGATCAATAACAAAATTTCAAAAGAAAATATAGCTAACCAAAATCAAGACAATATAAGAAAATCAGGTATTTATGAAATCAAATGTTCTAATTGTGATAAATCCTACATTGGGCAAACAAGTCGAACTTTCGAAAAACGGTTCAAAGAACATATTCAAGCATTAAGATCAGGAAACCGCACAACAATGAAATCTAATTTTGCAGAACATTTAATACAAACAGACCATGAATACAAAAGCATCCACGAAAATTTAAAAATCCTTGAATATGAAAAAGACAAATCAAAATTACATGTTAAAGAAGATTTTTACATTTACAAAAACTATAAACAACACCCAGAAAATTTACTAAACACAATGAACATCAACAAATGCAATCCAATATTTGAAAAAATCCTACAGTTAAATTAAGAGAGAAAATTATTATATATAGTATAAAGACCATTTAAAACAGAAGAAATCTAGTCATCAAAACCTATGAAATCATATGATTGTATTTATTATTTAGATAAAATGTTTATTGTATTTGTTAGATATAAAAACAACATGACTATGGCATAATCGTCGAAACTAGTCGTTGTTAAATAAAATGAATTTAAAAAAGGGTACTTAGTTTTTAATAATGCTTTTATATATCAAAATAGTAGCCCTAATCACTACAGTTTTCTTAATATATATATATACGTCCGTGAACGCGATAACTTGAGTAATTTTAGTCCGATTTTGATGAAATTTGGTTTAAAGGTGTAAAGCGGGATAAACTTGAATGAGTTCGCGAACCAGCACGATCGGACCATGGGAACGGGGCTTTACGGGGGGTTTTATGGGGTAAAAATTGGTTTTTCTCACTTTTGACCCTCAAAACACAAAATTTTCCGATTTCTCTTTAGACCTTTTTAAAGAACTTAACACGTTCACTGCTAATGACGCACTTGTGCGTCATAAGTATATTAGCAGATATATAATACATGATGTATATAATTACATAATATATTTTAATCCACAATTTATAGTATAAAATTTATTTAATTAAAGATATATTGTCACTCAATTAACATGATCATGTTAATGTTTATGTTTTTTAGCCATTTATAAAAGTATTACATATCATTAGCAGTGAATGTGTTAAAAAAACAAATAATTTAGTATATAAAAGCATTTTTGTTCGATTGTAAGTAACGGAGAAAATTAAAAAATTGTAAATTTAAAATTCCCATGTTATTCTTATGGAGAATATTGTCAAATGTTGTAGTTTGCTTGTTTATGGATATATTATGATCAAACTTGGCAAATTTATTTATTTTGTACTAAGCTATCAATATTTTACTCAAAAACACACTTTATTAGTTTCCTTGTAGCAGCAAACCTAGGTACTTGTTAAACCTAATGTTATTAAAATATATTTAACTGAAAATTAATTCAGACAAATGGAAATTCGCTTAGTCGGCAGGTTTGCTGCGGTGGGGGTATTATAAGTCAGTATAGAATTTCTGTAGTAATGTTAGTAGGGATGGACGAGATTGGATTTTTAGTTCGAGACGAGATTGAGACGGGATTTCCCTTCTCATACATAACCGGAAATGCACGTCTGACATTTTAACCTGATGTTGTAACATTGTAAAATACCTACTGATTTATGACAGATGACTGGTTAACTACAAAAATAATAATAATAGGTAGGAATATTTCAAATTTGTTATAAAAGATGTATAAAAAACCTTATTAAAAATAACTATTACGCATAGGAAACATGGTGATATCAGTTAGGATAGATGGTTCAACATTGAAAAATACAATATTTATCAGTCTGAAACATCAGTTTTACTAGTTAAGTATTAAATTACGATCGTAATACCAAATTTATCAGTCTAAAATTTCAGTCCTACTAGTCAAGTGACAATTTTTCAGTCTTGTGTTATTTTTAGAATGATTTTGGAGCGACTTCGCTATGTTTACAGTAGTAAAACATGTCTTACACTGCTTACACTTAACAAAACTTCTCATCATTTACAATGTCAATACAAAAAATTATAAAACAGTTAAAGCAATATTTACATGTACAACCTAATAATGTTTAATAATGTTTAATAACATTATTTGCATGTAGAATTAATTAAATAAGAACACATTCACAAAGGAAACGTAACAACAACGTGCTAATGTATTGCATTGCATTGACTTTCTGAAAGTGTTTTTAACTGTTTTTTTGTTGTTTTTTATAATCTCTTCTCAAAAAAATCTTGATCAAAATAACATATTGTGCTGTAGAACAAGATTTAGAATTTCCCGAAAATTTCTCAAAATTTTGAGATCTGTCCACCCCTAATTGTTAGTTTACTGTTGTATAAATATACACAAGAACATTCTTTCTTGTTGAATGAGTGTGTGGTAAGAGTTTTAGAAATAACTATGTTGGTGAGAGGTCAGGTTATCAAAGAGACTGAGGTCCAGACCTTGTTTAATGACAGTGTGATTTTCATAGTTCAAATGTTGCAGCCTGTAAGCCTAACCTTGTTTCTAAAACAGTTCTGTTCAGGCTTCTAACACAATACAGTAGAACCCCTCATATCCGACCTCAGAATAACCGACTCCTCGGGATATCTGACCTAGTGTCTGCCGTCTACTTGTTCTGTGGGCGATAACACTGAGCGTGATAGGTTAACCGAAAAGCCGATGGTGGGTGTTGACGTGATCACGGCAGAAAATCGCCACTGTGGCCGATAACGGGTGTTGCCCTGTTGTTGCCGCCGTTGCGAAGACAATTACCGATTTTGGCCGTTCCAACCTTGCCCTGGTCCCGTCATGGTTGGATATGAGGGATCCTACTGTAAAGAGATTCAAAAGCTATTTTAAAGTAGAATTGATTCAAAATTTAATTTGTATCTTATATTCACAATTTCATATGTGTTCTCTGATTAATCACATGTACATGGAAGTAATTAAGGCTGGCTTACTCTTTTAAGTGTATCTCAATTTAGGATATTTATATTTATTATTTTTTTCTTTATTTTTGATGCTCTTAAACCAACCTGGAAAGTGCTACATAAACTTGTAAGTGTTTTGAAAATGTGTACGGCATTGCTGCAACCTTCCTTAACCACTTTATGCAATTTTTACGTCCTTGCGCTTTACTTTTTTGTTGATATCTACCTACAGAGGAAGGATTTGAATACAGCAACTATATGGTAGACTTCCCAAACCACAAGAATTAATTACTGACTGCTGTTCATGCTTGGCACTACAAGCAATATTATTCTCATTGATTGTTAACGGGTACTATGGACAGTACCGAGATGCTGTGCTGATTTCTCGTGAGGCTTGTTCAAATACATTTTTGCTTACTGCCTTAAACAAAAAACATGTGCCTCAGGTAAACAGGGGTTTATTATGAGATTCAAAGTTTCAATTTCAAATCCAGACAAGAATTTTGAACCTGAATATAAGATTTTTTGAATTGTGTCGACTTTGAGAGAGTGTTAAAATAAACCAAATTACAACCATCTTGTCCTCTAAGAATGTGTTTCTCTAAAGTGTAATGGTGTTTGACAGTCGCCAGTCCTGAGATGCCGCTTCTCATCGGCATCGTGGGTACAGTCATCCTCATCCCTGTCTTCCTCACTGCGTACTTCATCTGGAGAAGGTCTTGTGCACAGAAACCAACTGGTAAGTCACAAAAGAAACTTTTATTTCAAATAGCAGAGTAGCAAGTCGCTGCCTTGGGTCCAAAGTCTCCTACTAACTGAGCCACCGACTCACCAAAAAAATAGTGCCTCACATAAAATTATTGAATCCCAGTGCATAGACCTAGTTGCATATATAAGGTCCCAGAATGTAATATGCGCCTCATTGTTCCATATTTTGGACAACAGCGGCTTCCATTACTATTCAAATGTATGCGGAGCTCCTGCATAGCCTACAGCTTGAGCATTTATTTAAGCGCTTAAACAACTCTTCCAACTGAGCCACCGACTCACCATGGGTGGTACGATAGTTGATGTGAGCCACTGAAAGATTGTGCTGATCTAAATTACAAATTTATGTCAAACACATTTTTACCAAGTCAAACTGACAGAACGACTTATTATGAGCAATACAACTGTTATGACCAATCAACTATGTCAGCAACAAAAGATAAGGTAGAAAATATAATTTTATACACTGCCGCATTCTGTGACTGGCTCACACAACTATGTTCTTTTTTAGTACAAATAGGTGACAGCTGGTCCATATAGACGGAGAAGACTACTTTAGTATCCAATAGTTGATGCCAACACTTACTCAAACACTTAAACACATATAAGGGTAGGGAAACACATTTAACCGTTATTACTTTGATTCCAGGTGATGAACCGAGACTGCCCCCCAAAGTATTGCTGATATACAACCACAACTATCCCCAGCACGTAGACGAGATGATAGAATTCCATCATTAACCATTATTACTTTGATTCCAGGTGATGAACCGAGACTGCCCCCCAAAGTATTGCTGATATACAACCACAACTATCCCCAGCACGTAGACGAGATGATAGAATTCCATCATTATCTCAAGAAGTCTTGTCATCTGGACCCTCTCTTTGACCTGTTTGCAATACCCAACACTGAAACTAAGGTATTAGACTACTAAAATAGAATTAATTGTTGGTTGAATAGATTACTAAAGAGACTCCTGAATTGATTGGTAAACCAATTTGTATAGATAACCCTCATTAAAGTGTGCAACCACCTTCAATTTTAAATCTAATAGTTGCCATACTTACATACTGCCATAGCCACTTTTACCCAAGCTGGTACTTGGCCTCGCCAACACGTCACCAATTCTCTCGGACCCCAGAATCTTCCTCTACAAATCTCATTGTTTCCATATCTTCCGGACTTGATCCCACCACCTGGCCTGGTTTTCCTAATGATGGTACTAATGATGGTACTAATCCTAAAGATGGTACTAATGGGATATCCGAGGGGAAGGAGGGCTCCTTCCCCTCGGTTATCCCATTAGTACCATCTTCAACAAGCTCTCCTCATTTCTCCTCAAGATATAGTTGACCCACCTTAGCCCTCTGCTTTTGGCCTCCCCTACAAATATTGGGGTTTCGTAATAATTCTCGTAATTCTTTGTTGTGGTGGTTTCTCCATACTCCATCTTCACACACTGGACCATATATAGCTCTTTGTTTGAAGTTCATTGTTGGTGATGGTGAGTTAATGTTGTTCAAAGGTTTATTGCGGACATTTTCCATCACGATTGTAAAAAACAATACACAACGTTTCGGGATCTGGAATCTGATCCCGTCCTCAGGTGAAAAAACTTAACTAACACATTACAACTAACAATACACAAACGCCCAACCTAAGTTGGAATACACTACAGAAGGTAGCAGTCAAAAATATGCACTGTATAGCAGTCAAGTCATGATACAACATGGAAATAATAACCAATCACAAAACACTAAAATCTATAAAAGGTTTAACGTAAAAAGCTCACACAATGGAACACTAATAGCACCGTTCGCAATGACTCCACCAATGAGACTCTTATAATGACACTTTTATAGATTACTAGCTGACCCGGCGAACTTCGTATCGCCTAAGTTATAGGTTTCCCCTAAGACAGACCGATGGAAAGAAAGTACCGTTACGTTTAATTTTCAAGATGATCTCGTTCGCATCGCTCAATCACGTCCTGGTTGAAGTTCGTTCGCTACGCTCACTCACCTTTGGGTTGGAGCTCGTTCGCTACGCTCACTCACCTTTAGGTTGGAGCTCGTTCGCTGCGCTCACTTGCCTTCAGGTTAGCTCGTTCGCTACGCTAACTCGCCTCCAGGTTGAAGTTCGTTCGCTACGCTCACTCACCTTTGGGTTGGAGCTCGTTCGCTACGCTCACTCACCTTTAGGTTGGAGCTCGTTCGCTGCGCTCACTTGCCTTCAGGTTAGCTCGTTCGCTACGCTAACTCGCCTCCAGGTTGAAGTTCGTTCGCTACGCTCACTCGACTTTTGGTTGCAAATTAGCTGTTGTCATAAATGTAAAAGAAATAATAGTGCTGCACCCTGTTGGTAATCCTTGTAACTTTAATGCTATTGAACATCATAGAACAGAACCAACTTGTTTAATTGAAACAGCTGTTAAGATTCATTAATTCCATTTCTCATAAGGTTAACATGGGAAACTCCGGAGCCCTTTTAAGAATTTCGAAACGGGAAATAGTTTACGTCCGATTCGCATACCTACAGAATTTACACACCAAATTTCATAACGATCGGTGAAGTCGTTCCGGAGGAGTTTGCAGACAAACACTGTGACACGAGAATTTTATATATTAGATAGTGTTTTGTGATTGGTTATTATTTGCATGTTGTATCATGACTTGACTGCTATACAGTGCATATTTTTGACTGCTACCTTCTGTAGTGTATTCCAACTTAGGTTGGGCGTTTGTGTATTGTTAGTTGTAATGTGTTAGTTAAGTTTTTTCACCTGAGGACGGGATCAGATTCCAGATCCTGAAACGTTGTGTATTGTTTTTTACAATCGTGATGGAAAATGTCCGCAATAAACCTTTGAACAACATATATAGCTCTTAGAACATTATTCTCAAATAATCTTATTTTCCGTGTTCTTGCTAAAGATCCAATTTTTCCCTCCATACTAAAGTACTGGTCTAATTATTGATTTGTAAATTTGATTTTTTGTTTTCCTTGGTAAAAAGCTTTAATTTAATTAGTTTTCCACATGCATACCAACTTTTTTGCTTAATTTATCCTATTATATATCTTTCATATTTTATCTGATAATACAACACCTAGATATCTTAAATCGTTAACTCTTTGGAATTCGTGGATGTTGATTTTGAAAAAACGGCATTACAGTATTTCCATCTTTTCCCATACCATAGTTGCCATGAACTTTAAAGCCTCATTCCAGTCTTCAACTCTCAAGATTTTGAGAAAACAGTCTAAACGCTAGTTTTTTTGTCTATGCAGGACCCGACTCGGTGGTACATGAAGGCATTTAACGAGGCAGACTTCATCTTGGTGTTTGCATCACCAGCAGGACCTCAGGGGGCTCAGCCCCACAAGCTCAACACTTACCTCCACCTGGACAGGATCGCTCTGAAGCAGCTGCAGTACAGACTGGCACTGCCACGGCCGAGGTGTCCAGCCGTCAGTGTACAGCTGACTGGCTGCTCCTGGGACACTCTGCCTGACGAGGCCAAGGCTCTCTCCAGGTAAGTCACTATCTGACATCAGCACCATGTACTTACATCCCTCACTACTACTTTAGTGATGTTCCTGTCACTTAACCAATGATCAGAATTTTGGCGTTATCGTGGAAAATCATGTCAATGTCTGCAGAAGATGTTCATGGTTTCGCCGCAGTCGTGGAAGACGATGATGATGATCTGATGATCTTGTGACCGCCAGTGATATTCAGTGGTTTGCTGGAATCCCGGAAGACTATGGTGAAGTTTCCGTGACCAATGGGGATATTCAGGATTTTGATTACACCACCGCCAGAGAAGATCAAAATTTTGCCACTATTGTAGAAGGAGATGATAATGTCTATTTGACTGCAGGAGATGTTTAATATTTTGCCGAGACTGTGGAAAACGAAAATTTCCACATGACAGCAGGAGACATTCAGGATTTTACTGCTGTCACAGGAAACAAAGGTAATTTTCTGTTACCCCCGAGAATATTCCGGAATTTTCTGCGATCGTAGAGGACGATGATGATGTTCACGCGCAGATGATATTCAGGATTTCACAGCGATCGAGATTACGAGCGAGGGAGATGATTTCAATATTACCTAAAGCTCGGATTGATAAAAAATTTCAGGCTGTTACTCCTCTAGTTATTATACATTTTCTTTTGCGATTTTAATTTACTTTTGATATGGTATGTATTTCATGTGTTTAGAAGGATTTTAATTCAAATTGGCTGGTTAGAATTTTGGATTGCTGGTTTTAATTTTTTTTACCAGATTCAATTAGAATTGGTGTTAAATTTAAACTAGCTCACTTGACCATTCTTTGTGCTCGTTGGAGACCCTATATAACAGAAAATACAACTAACTCGTATACACAAAGCTACAGTACAATCTCTACGTGTCCATTTCAAAATCCTACTAACTCTGTGATGTTTCCAGATACGCTCTTCCCCGAGACCTGGACCCGCTGTTGGTGTTCCTAGGTACAGCGCCTATGTGTGACCACGGAGAGTCACTGTTGGCCGCGCTCAGCAACGCTCCCAAACAGAACCCTCCCTCGGCGTTCCCTCTGTTCAACCCCTGCACTACTGCCGTGCGGGACGGGTCGGCCATCACGCTGCTGGGCGAAGGCTCCAAGGACATCTCTGTGGAGTGCTGATACCTCTGCCGTCTGTCGACATAGTGCCTGCGGCCGCGGAATAGTAGACTGTAGCTTAGCGTAGGTTGGAGTCTGCGGTACAAGATAAGTGGGCATAGATTATTTTTTACAAATACGATTTAGCCTAACTTGTTTACCCTATTTCTTTTCTGAAAGATGGTTTCCTTCATTCTCATTTCTGTAGTGTACCATGAAAGATGAGGATGAGTTTTTTGTTGTTTAAATTTGACCAGTAGAATTATTATTCATGTTTGTTTTTCAAAGAATCAGGAAAATATGGATTAGTTGTGGAATTTTCAAACAGTTTTTTTTTAGTACTAGGGACTTAAGTTTTAAGCCTACCTTTGCTCAAAAATTGGATTATAAACCAGGTTACTGATGTTTTAGCCAACAACAAACTCCTATTGAGACATGATCTCATAGTTGTAACTTTCCTAAGTAATTGGGCTAAAAACAAGACTATAGATTTTTGAAGCCAACAACAAAAGCGTTTTGAGACATGATCTCTTTGATGATTCCCTGTCTCAATTTTCTGCTCTTTGTTTGGATTAGTGTATCCTAAAACTGGTCATTAACAGATTATCCTCACAATTTATTTTTAACTGGGTCATATCATAGACAAAAATAGTTAAATAGACCGTCAGCCGTGCTGCAATTATCATAGGTTCTGGCGTCCACCCCTGGGAGCGCCGTGTATTTACGTAGCATGTACGCCATAACTAAACGGTGCTCCCAGCGGTGGACGCCAGAACCTGTACTAATCACAGCACGGCTGACGGTCTATATTTCATTCTTTTGTCTATTGTCACATACACAGTAGTTGTAATTGATTGGTAATCTGGTGTTTTAAGCAACCCCGATACCTGTCAGTTCCGTAACCATCAGTATTCTGAGAGCTAGCTTCAACACCAACCTGTCTTCTACCGCAACTCTTGTAGTGGTTGTGAAAGGCAATGTTAGTCGTAGTCCTGCCTTTCTTAGTGCCAGGTTTTTATAAGACGAGCAAGGCTAATTGAGATATGTCCGTGGATTGTAATTCCATTTCTCTCCAGTCATTAGTTTAGGGGATTAGACATTACATACATAACCAGATTATATCTCGTCGGATTAGGAGTTTTAGGTATTTTAGGGAACTTCCATGACAAGTCTATTCGTCCTGTTTAACGATATTTATTTAACAATTATACTCTAACCAAATACTCTAAGGAAAGATTTCTCTTCATAGTGTAGGAGAATTAGATTCATTAGCAATAGTAGTTTTACATTTATAATATTTAACGTACACATTCCAAAACCAGCTGCTTTTTGTTACCGATTGTTGAATAATGTATGAAGAGAGTACAAGCAAAAATAGAATACTTTAGGATGTTTCTTCCATGACACAAACTTACGAGTATATATTTTGTAATTCTACTTTATTTAATTTTTAAAGACCAATTGCAAGAAAATTTACCGTTGTTACCTGAACAATATGCACATCAATCTATTTCATTTATTGAATACTTTTAAATTTGTTGTGTGATTATTTATGTGTTTCTGTTATTTTATGGTGTAAATATTTGTTGTATTCACACCTTTCGCTCCAAAAAAGCACAGTTTATTAGTTTAGGGAATAATTAATTTAGGGTAGTTATTTGATTTAATAAAAAAAAAAATATTACGTTTACCATATTACCAGTATTATTTGCAATATTTGATTTCTATGGCATTTAATTAGCAGTTAGGTACTTCAATGTTCCTTTTTGTATTATAAAGTTTTATATTATATTTTGGTACTTGATTAAGTAATATATTAGATATTTATTTGACAACTTTAAATCTATTATTGTTGGAAGTTTTTAATTGTTATTATATTTTGTATGGTTTATGCTTTAAAGTATTGCTAATACAGTAAATACTCAGTAATTAAACTAGTGTAAATATTATTTGTAACCATTTTGTCAAAAATTGAATTGAATTTACATAAGATATTCTGTAACAACTTTACAAACCCCTGATTGCATTATGTATAGTTTAAGAACTTCAGACCTTGTATTCACACCCAAAAATTGAAGTCGTGAAACTCAAATAAAAGGACAAAAAATTATACAAACCAATGCAAATAACTGTTTTCCTTAATGTTGTTTGCTTTGCGGAAAATTAGTTTTGTTGCGGTGTGGGGTAATTCATTACATATTGTAATGTGTACCGATTGAGTCCTACAAGGCGGCTAGTCTATCGTATTGTCGTACTGATCTGTGAGCGATAAGTCATCTGATAAGCGCCACGGTTTTGTACACTTTATTCTTAAAAAATCTATCCCAATTTATTTCTATTGTACTCCAACCTCTGCTATACAGGGTGAGTTTAAAATACCTTCCCCCCCTACTTTTTGAAACAGCATAAGTTAGAATGTTTAAACTCCACACATCTTTGTTAGACCTAAATATCTTGTTTTTTCATGGGTTCATTGACTCTCCATCTCTAATGGGGGACGGTCCAGGAGGAGTAAGCCGAGATACTAAAATATAAGCATAGGTTGAAATGTACATCAAAGTTAAGGTCTCTGTTAGAATACAATGCCGCAAACTGGACCTCAAATGGACAACTGAGTCAAAAATGGCAGCTGTTCAAAGTTTTCTATAATCTGCCATTTTGAATCTTTAAACGGCTACCATTTTTTACTCAGTTGTTCTTTTGAGCTCAAATTTGCGGCAATGTATTCTGCTAATAAAACCTTTAATTTGATGTGCATATCGACCTATGCTTACGTTTATGATTTTCTTCCGTCTTCTAGCGGCGCCCCACAGTATAATAAGCATTGCAAATTCAAGGAATCTTTGAATAGCTGTCATTTTTGACTCGGTTGTTCATTTGAGGTCCAGTTTGTGGCATTGGTTTTAGTTCAACAAGACCTTTAATTTGATGTACATGTCAAATTAAGACATGCTTACATATAAGAATCTCGGCATACTCCTTGGGGACCGTCCCTCAATGGAGATGGAGAGTCAATGAACTCATGAAAAACAAGATATTTATGTCTAACAAAGATGTGCGAAGTTCAAACATTCAAACTTAAAAAAAGGGGGAAGGGACTTTAAACCCACCCTCTATATTATAACATCAAAAGGTTGAACTATTGAGATTTTACTGTATGTATTAATTTATTAGTTTTTAACAAATATTATATTTCTATAACTTCAAACTAGGACACACTTAAATATTTTGGCTGTAAGATTCCAAATGCTATGTTATATATTTGGGGTGTTAAAACTAACTTTACCTGCAGCCTACCATTTTTTTAAAGGCTGTTATTTTTTAGTGTTGATGTGTATTTTTATTTTTGTATAATTTTGTTATTGTGTTCCTATGTTTATTACAAATTAGGTTTATAATACTGATATATTGTTTTCAGTATTATTATTGTAAGTTTGCCAAGTAATTTTATGTTCTGCTTCAATATACACAAAGATAGAGATATTAATTTTGGTAATTTTTATTTTGGCTAAAATTTGTCCTAGGTTAATCCATAAAATCAAATAGAAAGTTTCTGATAAGAAAACTTGTTAAGCTGCTCTGTACAATATTTTTAAAGTCTTTCCAAATCGTATTACACGGCTCGTTGACAAAAATATTTCTGTACTTTGATTCAATACAATTACTACCAGTGCCTGAAAAAAATTATACATATTTATATATAAAAACCAAACAATAAAACAGACTTTCGAGTCAAGTTAAATTTAAACAAGGTGTCCTTTTGAAATTATCAAGTAATACAAGAATTAACTGATTCATAGTGTAAGTTTAAGTGTAATACCTTTTTTTCACAAGCGAAAATAATTTTACAGTTGATTAAGAAAGGTTCTCTAAAGTGTAAACAGTGTGTTGATTTAGCAAAGTGTGTTTGAGAAACCTAGACGGCCTATAAATGTATATAAAATTTGTAAATATTTATAAATAGACGTTGTTACAAGCTGTTGTTACCTGTTACCGTGTTAAAAAATAGTGTTGCTCATGGGTGGAATAATGTTTGCTCATTATTATGTTTTTAGAGTTTACAATTTCTTTTTATAGGGGAGTTTATATTAATGTTGCGATGGTAAAATGTATACCTCAAAAGTTAAGTGTGGAATTACTTTGTGGAAAAACTGAGTTACAGTTTGTTTCTGTAAACAGTTGATTGTTTGGAATAAATTTAGATATTTAAATACAAATATTACATGTCATAATTGATTGTGCTGTGCCCATATTTTGTAAAAAATACCTAACGTAATTTATGAACTTATACAGGGTTGTCTTGACCTAACGTCCCTAACCCCTAATTTATGAAATTACTACTTATAAACTTGTTTAACCCTTTTTAAATTACTAAACAACATAACATTTTAATTTACTGTCAATTATATGATTTATACCATAATTGTCGTAAGTATAACTTTTTTTGTGTGTGTGAAGGCTGAAAAATGTATTCAAATACCTCACAAATGATACACTTTTGGCTAATAATGCAATTTTAAAATTTAAAAAAATGTTTGTTATGGGTTTGTGAAATAGTTTTTTAGTGTTTAACACAATGTCCGGACCACCCTGTATTTACAGTATTTAAAAATGGTTAAACAAAGACATTGGAACAATAATTTGAAACTTTATAACGCTTTTAAATGTACAGATAATACATTTCAGAGTTATAGAGTTAAGGGATTAAAGAAGTTTAGTATGTTGAATTGATTGGTTCATTGGAAGTAAGTAGGAAATTCATCATTGGGTAAAAATATTCTTGAGATTCACACATATTGTTCTTGTAGTAAATATGTCACTAAAAGTAAAATATTTTGTTCCATTTTGTCTCAGGCTAAAGAATAAAAACAAGAATTATTCGTTCCTCAAATAAAACAAACCACATCATAACCAGTAAACTGATATTTCCTGAAAAAAGCTTGGTTTCAGAGTTCTTAGATTTTTTATCAAATTTAAAAACATAATGTTTTAAACAAGATTATAGCACATTTCTATGCGCTTGGGAGTAAGTTTTTTTTTTTTTAAATCAATAATTAATATCATGTTGAACTAAGGATACTGTTGACAGTATGATGATAAACTGTTAGTCTTAAAGTTGCTTAATCTTTTAGCATGTTTTGTCTAGTCCATGAATTAGTTACTAGGGTTAGGGTTTTTATTAGTGTTAACGATTGTAGAAGTTCATATTCCGTCCTTCCGGACAAAATTGTTTTTGTAGGTTTACATTTTTTTGTCAGAATGTAGGATATTATCAGTTTTAAGGAAGACAGTAATGGCTCTCATAATAATATTTATTCAGAAAAAACTGTTAAGTATACTGGAATAAAAAATAATTTTTGGATTAAGCTTTGTATAATTTTGTATATAATATATATATATACTACCGGTAGTATGTTTGATTTTAGATGGTGTCAAAATCACATCTACATGTCTAATTGTATCTCGTCTGTATGTTCATCATGACAGAAAAAAAATCTAGGGGAAAAAACAGTGAAAATTCCTTAACAATGGTAAATATTTAAATAAGTAGAAGGAAAAGTCTCAATCTCTGTTGTTAATTAAAAACCAGTTTCATAATGTAGATTATGCTTGCCTGGTAATCAAAGGGTCGCCCG